TGATACTCAGGTTTTCCAGTTAAAATGATACTCGGGCTGTTAATGAAAACTCGGTGTTACTGATGCTCGGTGTTTTCTGAAATCGGTTTTTTTACTGATACCCCAGCGGGGTTTTGGGTACTCGGCTGTTACTGATACTCGGGGTGTTACTGATGCTCGGCTTTTTTTGTTTTCTCAGTTGGGTTTCTGGTTATCTCGGGTGTTATGATACTCGGCTGTTAAATGATCCGGCCCCGTTTTCTGATACTCGGCCTTTTTACTTTATACCTGACTCCTCCGATATCCTCCGCCCTTATATGTAACCCATTGGGACCTTTAATTTATTAATCAAAATTTATGTAAAAAACTAAATATGTTTAGATTAAATAAAAAATATAGTTGGTATATGTTAAAAATTCGTTTTTAGAACATTCAGAGAAGTTTAAAAAAAAAAATTCATTGCATAAAAAACTTACAAAAACGAAATGCCTTCAAAAACCCTTTTTTCTCCCGTAAGATTTATAATGAAGGGAGACAACTAAATTTTATAAATATACCCGGAGGGGTTTCCCCGGGGGGCAACGCCCCCCCGGGTTGGGGGCCCCAAAAAGGCCCCCGCTTTTTTTGGCTCAGGGGGCTGAAAACAACCAGGTTTTTTTTACTGGGTGCACGCAAAACCAAAGAACGAACCACCAAACCCTTTTTGGTCAGGTCAGTACCTGTCCGGCCCCCCCCCCCCCCCCCTTGGAAGGGAAAAAAGCTTTTTAAGGTTTTTTTTTTAAATGGTTTTTAATTTTTCTCCCCTTTTTTTAAGCAAAGGGGGGCCCAAAAAAACCCGTCCGGGCCCCATGACACCCTTTTTGTTTTTATCTCTTAGTGTACTCGTGGCAACCTTTCCCTTTTTTTTTGGGAAAAAAAGTTGCCCCCCCGGGTTTCTGAGACGGGTTTTCCCTGTGGCCCGATTTTTGGGGGTAGTTTCCCCCTTTGGATTTTTCAGGTTTTATTACGGGTTTGTTTCTCGCATGGCATTCCCAAACAACCCCAAGGGCAAGAGATTTCGAATTTTTTCCCAGGGGAATTTTTTTTGGGGTGTTTCATTGTACTTATAATTTAAAATGAAAGTTTCTCTGTATAATTTTTCTAGGTCCCGCAGTTTTGCCTGCCTTGAAGGGGGTTTTCAGCCCTCATCAGTACTTTAGCCTTAAAAAGAAGAAAAAAAAAAAAATGATTTGAAGAGAAACATCATGGGCTTGGGCCCTCCTTAGTTTTTAAGGGGGTTTTATTTTCCATCCTATTATTTTCATAGCAGATGTGGGAACTTTTTGGGGATTTTTTTGAAAGTGAGATTCTATTGGGGCCCCCAAAAATTTTTTCCTCCAGATCCTTCACCTTTTGTTTTTTTGCTCTGTTTGTGTGACTGGAATTTTTTTTTTTTTTGTTTTTTTTCCGATGAGCTTTAATTTTCCCCCGAGTTTTACATAACAGAGTAATTGAAATTTGTCTTCATTGAACTTCATGTTGTTTTCTACGGCCCATTTAAAGATTTGGTTGATGTCCGCTTGGAGACTTGCAGCGTCTTCGATGGATGACACTGTCATGCAAATCTGGGTGTCATCCGCAAAGGAGAACACGGTGCTGTGGCTTACATCTCTATGTCAAATATGAGGATGAGGAACATAATGGGAGAGAGTACTGTACCTTGTGGAACAGAGCTTTTCACTGTAGCCGCCTATCACTTTACTCTGTTTACTGTTACTCTTTGTGTTCTATTTGTCAGGAAGTTATAGATCCATCTACCAACTTTTCCTGTTATTCCATTATCACGCATGTTGTGTGCTATTACGCCATGATCGCACTTGCCGAAGGCTTTCGCAAAGTTTGTGTATACTACATTTGCATGTTGCTTGTCCACTAGAGCATCCAAGACCTTGTCATAGTGGTCCAGTAGTTGGGACAGGGAGGAACGACCTGCTCTAAACCCATGCTGATTTTTATGTGGAATGTTAGTGCTATCGAACTGTAATTCTTTACAATTTCTTTACTGCCACCTATGTGGAGTGAGACTATGTTGTTTTTAGTGACTGTGGGATGACCCCTGTGTCCATGATCCCTCTCGAAAGAATAGTTAAGGCACGTGACAGGGGCTTCTTGCAGTCTTGATGAACACGGAGTTCCAAGAGTCTGGGCCTGGGGCAGAGTGCATGGGCATGTTATTAATTGCTTTTTCAAAGTCTTGTGGAGTTAGGCTAATATCAGAATTTTTTGAATTATCCAAATTTTGACACTCGGTCATGAAAAAATCATTTAGATTGTTGATCCTTAGTCTGATTAATGGCTCACTAAATGCTGAGTCATACTGGGGCTTCGGTATCGTACCTATTTCTTTGCTGTCATCTGTGTAAGTTCCACCTCGTCTAAGTAGGGGCCCTATTCTGGATGTTGATTTTGACCTAAGTTTGGTATAAAAGAAAAGAGTATTTTGGGTTTCTTTCAATTTCATTTATGGCTTTAAGTTCTTCCTGTGTTTCTTGTCTCCTGTATGATTCCTTAAGCTCATGTTCGATATTTGCTATTTCTCTGACCATAGAGTTCCCTCTCCATAGAGTAGTTAAAGTGAAGACTTAGACATGCAACATATGGGAATCTTTATTAAGGAAACGTTTCGCCACACAGTGGACTGATGAAGCCACTGTGTGGCGATACGTTTCTTCAAAAAAGATTCCCCTATGTTGCATAAGTGTCTAAATCTTCAACTTGTCGTTTTCAAAACCATTTATCACAATATTTAAGGTACACGAAAGGGGTTTCTTGCTGTTGTTGATGAACACGGAGTTCGACGTGTCTGGCTTGCAGCAGAGTGCGTGAACATGTCACTAATTGCGATTTTAAAGTCCTGTTATGTTGGGGTTATATCGGAAATTCTGGAGTTAACCAAGTTTTGAGTCTCGATCATGAAAAAAAATATTTGGATTGTCGACCCTTAGTCCGATCAGCGGCTCACTAATACAAGGAATTCTTCAACACTTGTCCAGTCTTTGGACAAAGACCTACTTACACTAGTTAATGGTTACACTGTGATCCCGCCTCCTCCTGCTTCCACTCACCTGACTACAGTACATAAGCCACTTCTCCGGCCATGTGCTGTACTTTCTACAAGAGTGATGGACTGAACACATCGATTCTAGGCTGAGGGACTGATTACCTCAAACTCCTCCTCTCCTTACCCTTCTCTGCTTTGTATTGGGCTGATGAAGCCACTGTGTGGCGAAACGTTTCCTTAATTAACAAAAATTCCCATATGTTGCATAAATGTCTCAAACTTCAACTTGTCGGTTTTCTAACAATTTATCACATCTTTTTTTTGTTACCTGGCTCGATATTTTCTATTTCTGTAGCCAGTGCCTCCTTCAGTGTTCCAGACAGACTGGCACCTTGGAGCAGCTCTGTGATTCTTCGCTTTCGCCAGTAGAGGCGCATTCTCTCTCTTTTTAGTTTACATTTCTTCTTTTTTCTTAGAGTATTGTGCCTTGAGCATACCTCATGTGCCACAGTTAATTCTTTCTAGGCAAAAGTTGGGATTCATGTTGTTTAGGATATCTTCCCAGCGAGTTTGATCCTACTGGATCTTTTCGTTATTGAAGCTGAATTTGATGAAGGCTCCCTCATAACTAATCTCATTTTACTGGACAGAACCCCTGTACATACATGTTTATACCTCGATTATGTTGAGATCGGAGTGTATTGTCTTTGATTCTGTTATATATCGTACCAGATCGTCATTATTAGTGAAACTAACGTAAAGTGTATTTTTCAGTCTTGTTGGCTCCATATTTGCTGGCTAAAGGTGAATTTGTTGGTGATAATAGTTCATATTTGCGAATTTTTATCTGAGCTTCTTCCTGGATGTACGGGAGAAGTAAGTGAGGTCCTGAGGATATCCATTCATAAAAGAACTCGAAATAATAGATTCAAATTGGATAAATTTAGATTTAAAAGGGATATAAGAAAATACTGGTTTGGGAATAGAGTAGTCGGTGAGTGGAACAGTCTGCCTAGTAGGGTGATTTGAAGCTAAAACCTTGGGTAACTTGGATGAGAATGGTGGGATTTGAGTGGAACTTGCGTATTAATTATTAGGGTTATTAAAGCTTATTCCTTGGATAGCACTGAAAATGGGATGGGCTAATATTTTTGTTAGTGGGTTTCGGTTGAGAAAGACGTGCCAAGTATGGTCCAGTAAGCCTGCTGCAGTGTTCCTCCTTTCTTATTTTGAACAATTTACAATATGTGCTGAACAAGTTACTCTGGTTATGAACAATTTACAGTTCATTGAACTTCATTAATGTTAAGTTTAATAGAGTATTTAATGATTTTCAAGACATGGAAATAAGAGCTCCCACAATCCACAGCATTACCTGGAGATGTTGACTCACCTGTAACACCTGGAGATGCTGACTCACCTGTAACACCTGGAGATGCTGACTCACCTGTAACACTTGGAGATGTTGTCTCACCTGTAGTACCTGGAGATACTGTCTCACCTGTAACACCTGGAGATGCTGACTCACCTGTAACACCTGGAGATGCTGACTCACCTGTAATACCTGGAGATGCTGACTCACCTGTAACACTGGAGATGCGGTCTCACCTTTTAGTACCTGGAGATGCTGATGCACCTGTAACATCTGGAGATGCTGACTCACCTGTAACACCTGGAGATGCTGGGTCACCTGTAACATCTGGAGACGCTGACTCACCTGTAGCACCTGGAGATGCTGACTCACCCTGTAACATTTGGGGATGCTGATCCCTGTAACACCTGGAGGGTGCTGTCTCACCTGTAGTACCTGGAGATACTGACTCACCTGTAACACCTAGAGATGCTGGCCTGGATAAAATGGACATGCAATGATTTCTTCACTTGTAGAAATTTAAACCAAGATGACCATCTCCCCACCAACACCTGGGAAGGTGGCTCACAGCAGATACAATCACCCCCAGCTGCACCACCACCACTGGGATCCTGCTGGTGGGCAAGTGCAAGATAAGGGAGACAGGCAACGCTACCACTCTGGCGCGACTCTGGTGAGTGAAGTTACAGGTCAGTATAAGCGCATTAAATTCTCTGAGAGACACTGACCACATTTTCAACATTCATAAAAACAGTATAATACCATTTAAATATAAAAAAATTTTCCCCATTTATGTACGTAAGTAACAAGAAAATTTTGAAGTAGGAATGTACTCAAAATAAAATAGCATTCAGAGTATCACGGTACTAAAGTACCATAATGCTCAAAGTACCATAATAAATAAAGTATTCATTGCACTCAAAGTACCCTGGGTACTAAAAATACAACGGTACTCAGTGCTAACTGCAAGACAAAACACAAAATGACTGTGGTGTAAAGATTACCTCGCTAGCTGGTATGGATGTAAAGCAACCATGAAGCTACCATGAATTTACCTTGATTTTGTCATAAAGCAACCATGAAGCTTCATAAATCTACCTTGTTACTTTTTATAAAGCAACCATGAAGCTACATGAATCTACCTTGATTTTGTCATAAAGCAACCATGAAGCTTCCATAAATCTACCTTGTACTGTTATAAGCAACCATGAAGTACCCTGAATCTACCTTGATTTTGTCATAAAGCAACATGAAGCTTCCATAAATCTACTTGATTACTGTCATAAAGCAACCATGAAGCTACCATAAATTACCTTGATACTGTTATAAAGCAAACCTGAAGCTTCCATAAATCTACCTTGATACTGTCATAAAGCAAACCATGAAGTACCTTTAAAACTACCTTGATACTGTTATAAAGCAAAAATGAAGCTTTCCCTAAAATCTACCTTGTACTGTCATAAAGCAACCATGAAGTACCATGAATCTACCTTGATACTGTCATAAAGCAACCATGAAGCTTCATAATATCTACCTTGATACTGTCATAACAACCTGAAGTACCAGGGAAACTCCTTGATACTGTCATAAAGCAACCATTTAAGCTTCCATAAATCTACCTTGATATGTTTAAAGCAACCATGAAGCTACCATAAATCTCCTTGATACTGTTTAAAAAAGCAACCATGAAGCTACCTGAATTACCCTTTTACTGTCATAAAGCAACCATGAAGCTACCCTGAAACTACCTTGATACTGTCATAAAGCAACCCTGACGCTACATGAATCTACTTGATACTGTCATAAAGCACCCTGCGCTACCCTAAATCTACCTTGATACTGTCATAAAGCAACCATGACGCTACCTTTAATCTACCTTGATACTGTCATAAAGCAACCATGACGCTACCATAAATCTACCTTGATACTGTCATAAAGCAACCATGACGCTACCATGAATCTACCTTGATACTGTCATAAAGCAACCATGACGCTACCATGAATCTACCTTGATACTGTCATAAAGCAACCATGAAGCTTCCATAAATCTACCTTGATACTGTTATAAAGCAGCCATGAAGCTACCATGAATCTACCTTGATACTGTCATAAAGCAACCATGAAGCTTCCATAAATCTACCTTGATACTGTCATAAAGTAACCATGACGCTACCATAAAAATTATGGGGTTACTATGAGCTTACCATGACACTATGAAGCTATTACCATGATGCCACCATGAAATTACTATAACTACCACAAAGTTACCATGATAGCACCATGACACCACAACACTACACTAAAGTTACCATTAAATTACCTAACATCTTTTAGTGCCACTAACTTCTTCTTTCCATTTACGTTTATAATTTCTCAAATAATGAAGTATTATATTTTTTAAATATTTATTTTAATAAATATATCAATAAATGTAAACTATGAAAGCCGCTAAAAATTAAATCAACGAGAAAACAGAGAAAATTTTTTGAGTATATCACTGAGTGAATTAAAGAGAACATTTAAAGCAGTAAAGATATTTAAATGTAAGTCATAATAATAATAATAATAATAATAATAATAATAATAATAATAATAATAATAATAATAATAATGGACCAGTAGGCCTGCTGCAGTGTTCCTTCTTTCTTATGTTCTTATGTAATTGTTGGCTTTATGCTTGGCAGTCACCAGGTGGAAGTTTTGGGGTGGGTGGGCGTGACCCTTGACCCGGATGACCTGACTCAGCTGACCTCGCTGCAACACCTGGTCAGGTCACACAACATAGTGGCAGTAGTGGGTCTTCACGCTTTCCGCTCTGCTCGTATCCTGCTGACCTGCCAGGTAGGTGTGTATCCTGCTGACCTGCCAGGTAGGTGTGTATCCTGCTGACCTGCCAGGTAGGTGTGTATCCTGCTGACCTGCCAGGTAGGTGTGTATCCTGTTGACCTGCCAGGTAGGTGTGTATCTTGCTGGCCTGCAATGTAGGTGCGTATCCTGCTGACCTGCCAGGTAGGTGTGTATCTTGCTGGCCTGCAAGGTAGGTGCGTATCCTGTTGACCTGCCAGGTAGGTGTGTATCTTGCTGGCCTGCAAGGTAGGTGCGTAGCCTGCTGACCTGCCAGGTAGGTGTGTATCTTGCTGGCCTGCAAGGTAGGTGTGTATCCTGCTGGCCTGCCAGGTAGGTGTGTATCCTGCTGGCCTGCGAGGTAGGTGTGTATCCTGCTGGCCTGCAAGATAGGTGTGTATCCTGCTGGTCTGCAAGGTAGGTGTGTATAAGAACATAAGAACGAAGGAACACTGCAGAAGGCCTACTGGCCCATGCGAGGCAGGTCCAAGTCCCTACCGGCTTAAGCCAATGCACCCAACCTAGTCAGGTCAGGTCACATTGACTTAAGGGAGGAACACGGCAACCGACCTGTTAGCACAAGCTATCAGGTCCAACTCACACCCACCCACATCTACTCATGTATTTATCCAACCTATTTTTAAAGCTACACAACGTTCTGGCCTCTATAACGGTACTTGGGAGTTTGTTCCACTCATCCACAACTCTATTACCAAACCAGTACTTTCCTATATCCCTCCTGAATCTGAATTTTTCCAACTTAAAACCATTGCTGCGAGTCCTGTCTAGGCTAGATATTTTCAGCACACTATTTACATCCCCTTTATTTATTCCTGTCTTCCACTTATAAACCTCAATCATATCCCCCCTAATTCTACGTCTTTCTAGAGAGTGCAGTTTCAGGGCCCTTAGTCTATCCTCATAGGGAAGGTTTCTGATACATGGGATCATCTTTGTCATCCTCCTTTGTACATTTTCCAGAGAATTTATATCCATTCTGTAATACGGTGACCAAAACTGTGCAGCATAATCTAAATGAGGCCTAACCAAGGATGTATAGAGTTGAAGAACAACCTGAGGACTCCTATTATTTATGCTTCTTGATATGAAGCCAAGGATTCTATTAGCTTTATTGCGAACACTTATGCACTGTTGTCTTGGTTTCAGATTACTGCTAACCAGAACTCCTAAATCTTTTTCGCAATCCGTAATATTAAGATCTACATTATTTAGTTTATATGTGGCATGGTTATTGTCCTGTCCAACATTTAGAACTTTGCATTTGTCTATATTAAACTGCATCTGCCACTTCTCCGACCACTGCATCAGTCTATTCAAATCTTCCTGGAGTGCTCGAATGTCCTCGTCAGAATGAATTCGACGGCCTATTTTGGTGTCATCGGCAAACTTGCCGATGTCGCTCTTTATGCCCTCATCTATGTCGTTTATGTAGATTGTGAACAGCAGGGGGCCCAACACTGACCCCTGTGGAACACCGCTCGTGACGCTTCCCCACTCTGATTTCTCCCCATTTATGCAAACTCTCTGCTGCCTATTTGTCAACCATGCCTCTATCCAGGAAAAAATTTCTCCTCCTATTCCATGTGCTTTAATTTTCCTCAATAGTCTCTGATGTGGGACCCTGTCAAAAGCCTTACTGAAGTCCATATACACAATATCATATTCATTACCATGATCTACCTCCTCAAATACCTTAGTGAAAAAAGTTAATAAATTCGTAAGGCAGGAACGCCCCTTTGTAAAACCATGCTGAGATTCGTTGATTAATTTATGCTTTTCAAGGTGGCTACGAACTGCCTCGGCAATTATTGATTCCATAAATTTTCCCACTATGGAGGTTAGGCTTATTGGTCTATAGTTCGAAGCTAAGGACCTGTCACCTGTTTTGAAAATAGGTATCACATTTGCCATTTTCCACTTATCTGGCACCATGCCAGTTTGTAGTGATATGTTGAAAAGATTAGCCAAAGGTGTGCTAAGCTCCTCTTTACATTCCTTTAGAACCCTTGCATACAGTTCATCAGGGCCTGGGGATTTGTTAGGTTTTAATTTATCTATTTGCCTAAGGACCATGTCACTTGTGACCCTAATAGTGCACAGTTTATTATCGTCCTGTTCTACATAATTTATCATTACTGGAATATCGCTGGTATCCTCCTGTGTAAAAACTGAGAGGAAGTATGTGTTAAAAATTCTACACATTTCCTTATCACTGTCAGTGAGCTGACCCGAGGAACTTTTGAGTGGGCCTATCTTGTCCCTGATCTTACTTCTGTATACCTGAAAGAATCCTTTTGGGTTAGTCTTCGATTCTCTTGCAACTTTAACCTCATAATCTCTATTTGCTTTTCTAATTCCCTTTTTTATTTCTCTCTTTAACTGAATATACCGATTTCTTAATTGCCCCTCTCCTCTTTTGATTTGCCTATATATGCCTCTCTTTTGACCAATCAGATATTTTAATCTATTGTTCATCCATTTAGGATCATTTTTGTTTGATCTGATTTCCCTATTTGGAACATAATTTGACTGAGCAGCTAGAACTATGCCCTGGAAAGCATCATATCGGCAACCATCACCACCTACCTGACCCCTAGTCAGGTCATTCCAGTTCAGCCCACCTAAGTAATTTTTCAGTCCTATGAAATCAGCCAAGCGAAAGTCAGGGACGGAGACTTGATTGCCATTATTAGGGGAATTCCATGATATGTTAAAACTGAGTGATTTGTGATCACTCTCCCCAAGCTCATCATTAACCTCAAGATTATTAATTAGTGTTTCCCTACTGGCAAGAACCAAGTCAAGGAGGTTATTTCCCCTAGTTGGCTCTGTCACAAACTGTTTTAAAAAACAATCCTGGATCGTATCAAGAAAGTCACCCGACTCTAAATTTCCTGTCAAATTGCTCCAGTCAATCTGTCTATAGTTGAAATCCCCATTAGCACAACATTTTCGTATGTAGATGCCTTACGAATTTCGTCCATAGAAGTTTACTGCACTCCCTATCAAGATTTGGGGCCCTGTAAATCACACCCAAAATTAGTTTTTCTCGGCCCTCGAGAAGCTGTAACCAAACAGATTCAGTGGCTGACGCTTCTAATTTAATATCTTGTCTAACACAACAATTTAAATTGTCTCTGACATACATCGCTACTCCACCACCTTTCCTGTTGACCCTGTCAGTGTGGAATAATTTATAGCCTTGTATGTGACATTCAGAGGGCATCTCTCTATCTTTCAGTATTGCAGCCAGGGGCTCTGTTATAGCATTAATATCTATGTTTCAATGCACTTGCAAATTAATCTTAGCTCATTATCTTATTTCTAACACTCCTGCTATTATGTATAGTAATACCTTAAGGGAGCTTAGTCTTGCTCCCTCTGATGTCCCCTTTTGTTTGACTGAACCTCCTGCAGGTCTGCGAGGTAGGTGTGAATCCTGCTGAACACTGCCAGGTAGTAGGTGTATCCTGCTGTCCTGCAAGGTAGGTGTTGTAACAGGCTGACTGCCTGGTAGGTGTGTATTCTGCTGGCCTGCCCATGGTGGTGGTATCCTGTCGGCCTGCGAGGTATGGTGAGTATCCTGATGGCCCTGCCAGGTTGTGTATATCCGCTGGGCCATGGCCAGGTATGGTGTGTATCCTGCTGATCCTGCCAGGATAGGTGTGTATCCTGCTGGCCTGCAAGGTAGGTGTGTTATCCTGCTGGCCTGCAGGGTAAGGTCTGTGTATCCTGCTGTGAATGCAAGTTTAGCGTGAGTATCCTGCTTGGCATGCAAGGTAGTCTGTGCATCCTGACTGGCCTGCCAGGTAGGTTTGTGTAATCCTGCTGGCTGCATGTAGGTGTGTATCCTGTGGTCCTGCAAGGTAGGTGTGTATTCCTGCTGGCCTGCAAGATAGGTGTGTATCCTGCTGGCCTGCATGGTAGGTTGTGTATCCTGCGGGTCTGCGAGGGTAGGTGTGTATCCTGCTGACTGCCCTGGTCTAAGTAGGTGTGATATCTGCTGACCTGCAAGGGAATAGGTGTGTATCGCGACCTGCCAGGTAGGTGTTGTATTCTGCTGGCCTGCAAGGTAGGTGTGTATCCTGCTGGCCTGCGACGGTAGGTGAGTTATCCTGCTGGCCTGCCAAGGTAGGGTGTGTATACTGCTGGCCTGCCAGGTTAGGTGTGTATCTCTGCTGACCTGCCAGGTAGGTGTGTTATCCTGCTGGCCTGCAGGTAGGTGTGTATCTGCTGGCCTCGCCAGGGTAGATAAGTTGTTTATCCTGCTGGCCTGCTGAAGTATAGGGTGAGTATCCTGATGGCCTGCCAACCAGGCTAGGTGTGTATCACTGCTGGACCCTGCCAGGTAGGTTGTGTATCCTGCTGGCTGCAAGGTAGGTGTGTCTACCTTGCTGGCCTGCAAGGTAGGTGCTGTATTCCTGCGGGCCTGCAGTTAGGTGTGTATCCTGCTGACCTGCCACGTAGGTGTATATCTGCGGAACCTGCCAGGTTAAGGTGTGTCTCCTGCTGACCTACCAGATAGGTGTGTACCCTGCTGGACTGCAAAGGTTGGTGTAGGTTATCCTGCTGGCCTGCCACGTTGGTGTGTATACCTGCTGGCCTGCGAGGAAGTTGTGTTTACTGCTGGCCTGCAGATAGGTGTGTTATCTAGATAGCTGCCCGGTAGGTGTCTGTATCCTGCTAGCCTGCCAGGGTAGGTGTGTATCCTGCTGGACGGGAAGTTAGGTGTGTAATCTTGGCGTGGCCTTGCCGAGATAGGTGTGTATCCTGCTGGCCTGCGAGAAGTGTGTATACTTGCTGCCTGCCAGGTAGGTTGTGTATCTGGCTAGCCTGCCAGGTAGGTCGTGCATCCGGCTGGCCTGCAGAGTAGGTGTGTTATCCTGCTGGCCTGGCCAGGTAGGTGTGTATCATGCTGGCCTGCCTAGGTAGGTGTGTATCCTGCTGGACTGCGAGGTTGGTGTGTATCCTGCTAG